ATCAATGTGTCTGTTTTTGTACCAGTACCATACTGTCTTGATGATTACAGCTTTGTAATAGAGCTTGAAGTCCGGGATTGTGATGCCACCAATTTTGTTTTGTTTTGTTTTTAATAATCCTTTGGCTATCAGGAGTCTTTTCTGGTTCCATATTAATTTTAGGATTATTTGTTCCAGCTCTGTGGAAAAAAGTTGATGGTATTTTGATAGGGATTGCATTGAATGTATAGATTGCTCTGGGTAGCATAGACATTTTAACAATATTTGTTCTTTGTATCTTCCTCAATTTCTTTCTTTCTTTTTTTCTTTCTTTCTTTGTATCTTTCCTCAAATATTTTAAAAGCATAGTCTTCTGAGTATAGGTCCTTTGCCTCTTTGGTTAGGTTTATTCCTAGGTATCTCATGGTTTTTGGTGCAATTGTAAATGGGATCGACTCCTTAATTTCTCTTTCTTTTGTCTCATTGTTAGTGTATAGAAATGCAACTAATTTCTGTGCATTGATTTTATATCCTGCCACATTGCTGAATTCCTGTATGAGTCTAGCAATTTGGGGTTGGAGTCTTTTGGGGTTTTCCACACAGTGTATCATGTCATCTGTCAAGAGTGAGAGTCTGACTTCTTCCTTGATTTGGATGCCTTTGATTTCTTTTTCTTGTTGTCTGATTGCTGAGGCTAGGACTTCTGTGTACTATGTTGAACAACAGTGGTGACAACAGACATCCCTGCGATGTTCCTGACCTTAGAGGAAAAGCTCTTAGTTCTTCCCCACTGAGAATGATATTCGCTGTGGGCTTTTTGTATATAGCTTTTATGATTATTGGGGTATGTTCCCTCTATCCCTACACTGTGAAGAGTTTTAATCAAGAAAGAATCCTGTACTTTGTCAAATGCTTTTTCTGCATCTATTGAGAGGATCATATGGTTCTTGTCCTTCTGTCCTTTCTTTTACTGATGTATTGTATCACACTGATTGACTGCAGATGTTGAACCACCTTTGCAGCCCAGGAATAAATCCCACTTGCTTATGGTGAATAATCCTTTTAATGTACTGTAGGATCCTATTGACTAGTATCTTGGTGAGAATTATTACATCCATGTTCATCAGTGATATTGGTCTATAATTCTCCTTTTTGGTGGGGTCTTTGTCTGGTTTTGGGATCAAGGTAATACTGGCCTCAAAGAAAGAGTCTGAAAGTTTTCCTTCCATTTATATTTTTTGAAACAGCTTCAAAAGAACAGGTATTAATTCTATAAAGTCAATTTCTAAGCAAACAATATTACCAGGGATGAAGGCATTTCAGAGGGCATAACAATCCAAATGTTTATATACTTAATAATACAACTTCAAATTACACGAAACAAAGACTAAAAGAATTTAAAGAGAAACAGACAAATCCACAATTATAGTTGGAGGTTTCAGTACTCCTCCGTCAATATCTGATATCACAAGTAAATAGAAAAGAGCAAAGATATAGAAGACTTAAACATTATCAATCAAATTTAATTGATCAACATTAACAGAATACTCCACCAAACAACAGCTGAACATACCTTCTTCTCAAATTCACATAAAATGTTTACCAAAATAAGACCATATTCAGGACCGTAAAACAAGTCTCAATAAATTTAAACAGCTATTGCTAAAGCAGGGCTTGAAAATAAATGTACAGCACCAAACATTTATATTAGAAAAGACAATACGAGGACAGAGATATTACATAAAAATGTCAAAAATCCCAAGACAACTACAGATCAAATCCACTATGACCATAGATAAAAAATTCTAAATACAATTTTAGATCGAATCCAACAATATCTTATAATATGGAGCAAAATATTGTCTTATAAAGACAATATATCATGACCAAGTGGGTTTATCCCCGGAACGCAAAGTTGGTTTAACATTCAAAAATCAATGTAATTCACCATATTGGACTATAAGAGGAATACCAAATGATCATTTCAATAAATGCAGGAAAAGCATTTGACAAAATCCAACACCTATTTTTTTTAAACTCGAAGAAAACAAGGAAGAAAAAGGAACTTCCTCAATCTGATAAAAGCCATCTACAAAAACCTACAGTTAACATATTTAATGCTTTATCCCTAAGATCAGGAAAACAAGAATGTATGTTCACCACTTATATTCAAATTTGTACTCAAGGTACTGGCCAGTTGCAGTAAGGTAAGAAAAAGAAATAAAGGCACCCAGATTGGAAAGGAAGAAGTAAAAGTGCTTTATTCACAGATGACATGCTCATCCACATACAAAATCTCATGGAATCTAAAAACAACATAACCTACCAGAACAACAAGTTTAGCAAGGCAGCAGGATACATAAGGCAATATAGTTCCAATCAAAATCTTAAGAAGTATTTTTGTGGAAATTAAGAACTTGATATAAAATTCACATGGGAATGCTAGGTTCCAAAGTAGCCAAAATGGGAGAACTAAGTTGGAGGATTAACACTACCTGATTTCAAGATATAAAGTCACAGTAATCAAGACAGTACTGTATGGGCATTAAGTGAGAAAACAGATCAATGGAACAGAATAAGTCTAGAAATAGGACTATACATACAATAACCACTAATTTTTGACCAAAGCTCAAAAGTACTTAAGTGAAGAAAGGATAGCCTTTTCAACAAATGGTACAGGAACAATTAAATATGCATATTCAGAAAATGAATTTTGATCTATACTTTGCTCCATATACAAAACTAACTCAAAATGGATCAGACCTAAACATAAAACTTAAAACTATAAAACTTTTGTAAGAACATATGAGTCAAGCTGTGTGACCTTGAGTCATCAAAATTACAAACCATAAAAGAACAATTTCAAATTGGACTTCATCAAAATTTAAAACTTACGTTCTTCAAAAGATACTATTAAGAGAATATTAAGCTGCAGACTGGGGAAAAAATATTTTAAAAGCATATATCTGATAAAGAACTATATCCCAAATATACAAAGAACTCTTCAAATACAATGGTAAGAAAGCAAACAACGTAATTTTTAATGGGCAAAATTTCAAACAGAGAAGATATGTCAATGGCAAATAAGCACATGAAAAGATGCTCAACACCATTAGAAAATGCAAATTAAAAATACAAGATACCAATACCTGTTAGAATGGCTAAGATTAAAGACTAACCATACCAAGTATCAGCAAGGATGCAGATGAACTAAAAATTTCATATACTGATGGTGGGAATGTGATAAAGTATAGGCTCTTTGACAGTCTGACAGTTAAATGTGCACCTATCATATAAACCAGCCATTCCAATCCTAGGTATCTGCCCAGAAGAAATGAAGTATACATCTATGTACACAAAGGCTTGTATACATAAATAATGTTTATAGCATTTCATAACAAAAAGTGAATAAACTACAATATAACCATACAACAGAATATGACTAAGCAATTAAAAATGAACTATTCATACACACTACAACATGGATGAATCTCAAAATAATTATTCTGACTAAAATGCTCCGTTTAAAAAAAATACATATTATTCCATTTCTATAAAATTCTAGAAAATGCAAACTAATCTAGATCAATGGCTGCCTGGGGATGGGAAAGGGGATAACAGATATGTTCATTTTCTTGACTTTGGTGATTATTTCACAGATATATACATATGTCAAAACCTATCAAGCTGTACACCTTAAGTATGTGTACTTTATTATGTCAATTACATGTGAAAAAAGCTATTAGAAGTTGTCTCTGTAGGAAGCCTGGGTAGCTCAGTTGGTTAAGCGTCTGCCTTCGGCTCAGGTCATGATCCCAGGGTCCTGGGATCAAGCCCCGCATCAGGCTCTCTGCTGTGCAGGAAGCCTGCTTCTCCCTCTCCCTCTGCCCGCTGCTCCCCCTGCTTGTGCTCTCTCTGTCAAATAAATAAATAAAAATCTTAAAAAAAAAAAAAAAGAAGTTGTCTCTGTTATTACCCTTAAAGCCAGTGGTAGTATATATCTTGACTGAACATAAAAGGGGACTCTTCCAATAATTCTTTTGTAGCTGATGGCTGAAAGAGCTTCTGATAATAATATAGTGAAGGGCACACAGGGTCTAGAGTATACATTCTCAACAAACAACTATTCTATTTCATTTCCATTAAGAGAGAAGGATACTTCACCTTCTATGAATAAACTGAAGAGATTTCCCACTCTAAACCATAAATCAGGTATCTATCCTAAATTAAATTACTTTACAAATTAACCAAAGGGGACTAGTTTGAGAGTTTAAATCAAAAATGGTAGTTTTAGGGGCACCTGGGTGGCTCAGTTGGTTAAGCATCTCCCTTCAGCCCAGGTCATGATCGCAGGGTCCTAGGATCAAGCTCCATGTCTTGTCAGGCTCCTTGCTCAACAGGCGGTCTGCTTCTCCCTCTCCCACTGTCCTTCCCTCTCCGCGCCCCCCCAACCCCAGCTTGTGCTCTCTCTCAAATAAATAAAATCTTAAAAAAAAAAAAAAAAAAAGATAGCACCTGGGTGGCTCAGTTGGTTAAGCAGCTGCCTTCGGCTCAGGTCATGATCCTGGAGTTCCGGGATTGAGTCCCACATCGGGCTCCCTGCTCAGTGGGGAATCTGCTTCTCCCTCTGACCCTCCTCCCTCTCATGCTCTCTGTCTCTCATTCTCTCTCTCTCTCAAATAAATAAATAAAATCTTTAAAAAAAAAAAGAAAAAGAAATGGTAGTTCTATTTGCCTTAAAAAAATTCTAAAATTCAGGAAAAATTTAGGGAATTTGCTATATTAAGAAAACAAAGCTCTAAAGCTATCTGAGCCAGAAGAAAATTTTAGTACAACTTTAAGACCAACTCCTCCAAAAAAGACTTGAATACTTTTGTTAAGTAATTTTCATAAACAAGGAGCCAAAGACTAGAAAATAAATATTCTTAATATGAGTAAATTTTGATTATGGCACATATACATAAATGAATGGCTGAGCTCATATAACTACAGAGAAAGAAAAGCTGAGCAACCTCACTCACCTATTTTGTTCCTCCAGTTTAGCCAGGAGTTCTAAGTCGTCTGGACTCAACTGTGAAGGAGAAGATGGTGAAAGGGCTGGCGTGGATAGTGTGGTAGATGAGGATGTAGTATGTAATGAGGCAGATGGACTTGCCACCTGACTGGCCATCTGACTGACTGTATGTGATACTGTGTTCTTCACCCATGAGAGAGTAGAACTCAGCTTTTCTGCAACCTTGTCTGTCGCCACCTATGGATAAAAATGAAAGTTGAATATATTTTAGTTTTACTGCATTCATTACCAAGAACGTGATAACCCTATTTTTAATTAATAGCCACCATCACAATAGTTTCTTTGAGGTGATACAGGTAAAACCTACTTTCGCAACAATTATCCTAACACCTGGCTTTTGGAAAATATTTCAGTTCTGCAACATGAACAAACGAAAACAGTGTTTTCCAAACTACAGGCTAAAATCCATCAGGGAGTAATAAAATCAATATGACAAGGAATGCTAGCATTTTTAAAAATGAAAAAGAATAGAAAATATCAGTGTAAATATATACTGTCTTATGAAATCGTTGTTTCAGTTACATATATGTATTAAAACTATGTACTACCTGTACATATATCTACGGGTATATTTAGTTGGAATGTAAAATGTATTCTCTAGTCAAAAACATTTGAAAGCAAAGGTATTAAAACATGTCCACTGGGTGATGAGGATAGGGAAATGCTGTAACAGGATTAATAATTCAACAAAAACTGGGGTTGCTTAGCCTAAGTAAGATGTAAGGAGATCCATGATACCTATCTCCAAACAGCTAAAGAGTATTTTTATAGAAAAGGGACTTTTTCTACAGGAACAAAATTATGATAAATGGTTGAGTTAGTAGAGTGGGAGAGATTCAAGACACAATTTTCACATAGCTGGAAATATTCAGAAATAGAATGGGAGGCCTAGAAAGAGTAGACATCCCCACCAATGGCTATAATAAAGCAGCTATTAGAAGAGCCAAATGTCAGAAGTTGAAGATAACTTTCTGTTTTAAGTGGGCAACCAGAATTTAAAAAACCCTTAAGATCCCGCCTATCTCTAAGATTAAGTGAATGACACATATGTCCATAAAGTCATCATAAATTATATCCAGGGGCGCCTGGGTGGCTCAGTCGTTAAGCGTCTGCCTTCGGCTCAGGTCATGATCCCAGGGTCCTGGGATCGAGCCCCGCATCGGGCTCCCTGCTCCGCGGGAAGCCTGCTTCTCCCACTCCCCCTGCTTGTGTTCCCTCTCTCGCTGTATCTCTCTCTGTCAAATAAATAAATAAAATCTTAAAAAAGATAATTAAAAAAAAATAAATTATATCCCTCTCCTAAGCAGATACATATACAAATGCAGCTGAAAAATAAAATATACATAAATAATATTCAAACATGGCATTATCATTCACTAATGAAAAACATAATAGCCATATTTGAATACCTATATAAAACTAAACATTCTTAATGATACGAGTTTACAAAATAAGGTGTTAATAGGCTTTTTAAGGGACTGTATTTTCTAAAAACTATCATGAAAAGAGCTTCTTGATTGTGAAGTACTTAGATATATAAAAGCTAGAAACTATGACATGCTTTCATGAGCTTTGAGAAGATCTTAAATTTTATGTCATAGGTAAATGGCTAAAGCATTGTAAATTATTTTCCGATTCAGCATACTCTCAGCTAATCTTAGTTATATATAGCAATTTATACACACAGAAATTAAAATACCAAGGCATACAATCCCATCGAGACTATTTTAGCAAACACTATTCTCCTCATGGGTTGCCCAAGACTTTTTTTCTCACCTCAGTACATAGATGACTCTCTATCCCTCTGTGCCCAGTTCCTCCATCTCAACCCAGCAGGATACTTTGATATAAGCAAAGGATAAAATGGAAAAGGGATTCTAAGGCCATAGTTAAGCAACTCAATATGAGGCTGGAACTTCTAAGACAAAAATTTGATTATAAGTGCTGAAAGGGCCAAAAGTTTTATTAACCTCTCATTTTCAGGAACTCATTTTAGAATTTACTTCTCTTGGAAACAGTAGTATAAAAGGGATAAGGGGACCCTTACTGTTGGGGGAAGAATCCCCAAGAAAGACAAGCAGGCTACAGTATGGGACCCAAGGAAAAGAAGCCAGGGGCAGACCATTTAGGCTTCCAGGCAAAAGAAGTCCTCGCCAATGCACAGACCAGCAGCACAGCTCCTCAGGGCAAAAAGCCAGAAAGGAACCAAAGAATAGGAGCCATAGTAGACCACAAGATAGCCTATTGTGATTTGTTATCCTATTGATCTTTTCTACATAATTACAACCACAAATTCAATTATCAAGATGGCACTAATTTGCATCCCCAAATCACAGTAAATAGAAAACCTAACACATAAAATGACAGAAAAATGTTACCCCTTATTAATACCAACCATTAATTTCAGATATGCTTACAACTTTCAAAAATTAACACTTCACATTTCCATTATATAAAAGTTCCTTACTAGAGTTAACTGTAGGAAAGGCAAAAGATTCCTACTATTTGCTTTCATTTATTAAAACAAATTTATCATACCCCTTCCGCACACTGTAGCAACAGCCTTCCATTTAAAGAGTTTGGAATAACGAAGAGCACAATCCTGACATCCTTTCAATTTTGCTGAAATTCAGCTGATATGAGATTCAATCTAGAACTACTGAAGGCTCACTAACTCATCTTCATATGTTAAATACTGAAATATAACCAGAGTATTTAATTGCAGTTGCATTTTAATAAAGTTTAATATTCATGGTTCTAGAAATCCCATAGGATTTTTTCATGTATCATGACATGTTCTATTTTTCCTTTAACTCTACAGTACTTTTCCAAATCTCCACCCTGTCACGTCTAAATCTCCTTCCCTCATCCTATGGTAAACTGAGGTCATGAAGACATAGTAAATCTGACAATGACATCACAAAGTTCCTGTCTACCTCATAGAGGGGTTATGCATTTATTTTTAAATATGAACATACTTTGAAAAGATCAAAACCATTATTAAAAATGCTTAGTAATCAGGGGCACCTGGGTGGCTCAGTCAGTTGAGCATCTGCCTTCGGCTCAGGTCATGATCTCAGGGTCCCGGGATCAGGTCCCACATCGGGCTCCCTGCTCAGCGGAGAGTCTGCTTCTCCCTCTCTTCCCCACTTGTGCTCTCTCTCGCTATCACCTTCACTATCTCTCAAATAAATAAATAAAATCTTTCAAAAAAAAAATGCTTAGTAATCAGGCACAAATGACCACATATTGTAGGACTCCACTTATATAAAATGTCCAGAATAGGCAAACCCAGAGACAGAAAGTAGATCAGTGGCTTCAAGGACCTAAGGGAATGACTGCTAATGTGCATGGGATTTCTTTTTGGAGTGACAAAAATGTTCTGGGTTTGGACTGTGGTGATGGTTACACAACCTTGTGAATATACTAAATGCCACTGAACTGCACACTTTAAATGAGTGGATGGATTTATGGTATGTGAATTATTATCTCAGTTGTAAAAGGGCTTAGTCAATCTCAGGAAACTACATAATATATGATTCCAACCATACAAAAAAGGCAAAACAATGGAGACAGTAAAAAGATCAATAGTTGCTAGGGGTTGGGAATACGGGAGAGATGAATCCTCTGCCTAGAGCACACAGGATTTTTAGGATAGTAAAAATATTCTGTGTAATACCATCATGATGGATATGTGTCATTACACATTTGACCAAATCCATACAATGCACAACCAACACTAAGAGTGAACCCTAATGTAAACTACGGATTTTGGGTGATTATAACTGTCAATGTAGGTACATCAATGGTAACACATGTACCACTCTGGTGGGGAATGCATGTTGGGGGGCAGGGAGTATATGGGAAATCTCTGTACTTTCCACTCAATCTTGCTATGAATCTAAAACTGTTCTAAAAAAGTAAAATTTTAATAAAATAATAAAGGTTAGTAGGAATCTTAGATATGACTACAATATTTGAATAGGATTTCCCATGAAAAACAATCATGGTTTCTCTACTGCTCTGTATTTTATAGTAAGTTATAAGGATGGTTTTAACTTCCAAAAATGACTATTTTTATTTCTTTTTTAATTTTTAATTTTAATTTTATTTTAATTCCAGTGTAGTTAACCCACAGTGCTATATTAGTTTCAGGTGTATGATATAGTGATTTAACAATTCTGTGTATTAGTGCTTACCAAGACAAGTGTACTCTTAATCCCCTTTACCTATTTCACCCACCCCTCAACCACCTCCCCTCTGGTAACTATCAGTTTGTTCTCTATAGTTAAGAGTCTGTTTTTGGGGGGCATCTGGCTGGTTCACTCAGTAGAGCATGTAACAATCTCAGGGTCATGAGTTCAAGCCCCATGTTGGGCACAGAACCCTACTTAAAAAAAAAAAAAAGTCTTTTTTGTTTTGTCTCCCTTTTTTCCTGTTTGTTTCTTAAATTCCACATGAGTGAAATCATATGGTATTTGTCTTTCTCTGAGTTATTTTGCTTAGCATTATACTCTCTAGCTCCATCCATGTTGTTGCAAATGGCAAGTTTTCTTTTTATGGCTGAATAATATTACATATATATGTAATATTATGTAAATATATGTGTATACATGTAATTTATATAATATATGTGATTTACATCATATATTTTTACATTAATTATATAATATATGTATAATACGTGCTGCTGGTCTGTGCATTGGCGAGGACTTCTTTCGCCTGGAAGCCTAAATGGTCTGCCCCTGGCTTCTTTTCCTTGGGTCCCATACTGTAGCCTGCTTGTCTTTCTTGGGGATTCTTCCCTCAACAGTAAGGGTTTTATTATAAATAATAAAAATATTTTACATTAATTACATAATATATAATATATAATGTAATTACATTAATTACATAATATATGTGATTTACATTATATATTTTTACTTAAATACATAATATATGTAAAACATTAATTGCATTATATATATATATAAATCACCTCTACTTTATCCATTCATCTATCAATGGACACTTGGGCTGCTTCCATAATTATTGTCTATTATAAATAATGCTGCAATCAACACAAGGGTGCATATATCCTTTTCAGTTAGTGTTTTCGTATTCTTTAGTGCAATTAATGGATCATATGAATTCTAATTTTTGAAGAACCTTCATACTGTTTTCCATAGTGGCTA